TGTTTCCCTTTGGCTGAGTTTTAGCCAATAGAAACGAAGCTAGATAGTTTGTAAACGACTGAATGTCACTTTTGGTTTTCCCCTGTCCCGCACACTTGGTTTGTCTTGGACACTCTGCGCAAAGTTGCTACACGCCTATCACCCACGCCTACCTCCTGTTTCTTGCTTCGTGACAAAATCGATACCAGTACACATCGATTGGCATGTGACAAAGTATGCGACAGCATAGAATGTGGGCGAAAAATTCCAAATGTCTGAACAAATCGGGAGTGCAAAGTGCTTGGAATTCGGGAGACTTCCAAAACCGCAGTAGTATGGGTGGTGTCTGCGGCGGTCAGTAGTGTTACCTGTAGCAGCGTTCGAGGGCGCTTGCTCCGGTTACGTATTCTACGATGTTCGGAGACGTCTTGCCTATTACAGCGTCGTGTGTCGGTCTGTGGTATATGGTTTTCGCTGCATACGGCTTTTCCGGCAGTCGATAGCGTCTGCCACCGTCAATGGCAACTGTAGCATTCAGTGGCGATGCTTTTGGTGGCGCATGTGCTGTAGTGAGACACCGCAGGACAATTTTCACCAAAACAACGTCACTGAATGTTATGTATGTCGTTTATCCCAAGCTGTGCGCCCTGTGGTGTTCCGGCTTGCTGCGACGGGTGGCGTTTTCGGCGGACAGTACAGTAGCGTTTGTGGCAGTCAATGGTACCTGGCGCTCTTGGTGGAGCAGGCCAAGTCCACTACCGATAACAGTAGGCTAGGCGACATGAGTTAAGCGTATGACTCGCATGCTTCGTCGTTCTACATAGTAGCTCTGGATGGTAAACCTATCGATTCGGGTTTTCAGGGTTCTGTCATGCTAAAACCTACTGGGAAGTAATGGTTATCCCTCTACACTGTACCAGTAATTGTGTTATACTATCTCTTTTATGTACGGCAATCGCCAATATGTGAGTATACTGTATGAACAAACCTTCGCCAAAATGTGAGTGTACTTAACGAAGATTATCGCACATCTCACATATTACAATTGTAAATCCAATCTTTGGACAATTTCATCGTTGGTGTCAATGTCATCAGCAGGATCGATCATGTCATCTACAGCACTACACGCAACAAACAGATCCTTTTGAACCAGTAGTCGGATTTTGCTCCTGTTGTTTATTTTCTTCGACTTGAACCAATAAACACCTCCTTCGAAATTCAAAGTTCAATAGACTTCTAGACCAAAGACGTTATTTTTGGCCAGAGCTGTATCATATTCCAAAATAATCACGTCAAAATATAAATGACTGAGTTTTAGCGAATAAATTAAGAATACTACTAAATCACTGAGTCATTTCGAAATATACCCAGTGACTTCGCTTGCATTGATTGTGTGATTTGGAAAGTATGTGCTGCATACACCAGTGACTGAGTAAATAATATAATATCATGTAATTTCCAATTAAAAAAACAAAATGTATTGTCGAATTAAAAATGCCACTTTCATCTGAGCTACTGTCGGCTTCAGAATTTCCAGAGGGCAAAATGATGCTCATACGATGTTTGCGCTTCTCACGATACTTAGCCATCGAGCCAGCACGTTTGGACTTGATTCTGTCACCCAGCGAGAGCAGTCGATTCTCGTAGCGTGTGAAATCTTCCCCATCTAAATCACGCAACGGCAAAAAACGAATGTGAACATTCGTTAACGCAACGCAAGTTTGAAAAAAAAGATCATAATGATCACGCTTCCAAGAGTACGACTCGCTCATGATGGTCCAAAGTGTCTTCAATCGCCCGAAAAAAATGTTCAACGACAACACGATCGCTGGCAATCCTGTCATTGGCAGTCATTTCTGGCACCGACAATAAACCACCGGCATGGCGCTTCGCAGGGGTGATTGCACGCATATGGCGGTAGAGGCCTTGATAACCCTTGTCAGCCAGCAATGCCCCTGAGTTTGGGTACTCATTCCCCAAATTCCCGTTGTCAGGCATGGTTGTTGCATAGCCGACCTTGGTCAGCATGTATTGGTGAAATGCATTGTTGTCGTAGCAGATTGTAATATCAGCCAAACTCCCGGGTACCGCGTTCGACACGTTGATCGCATATCCATTTGGAAGGACACTCGCTTCCACTTTCATGCCGTAGAGACTATGCTTCTTTCTAAAGAAGCGCTTCTTCTCCGCAAACGACCCCGCTGATGCGTTGGTTTGCTGAAACGTAACGTCCACAGCGTACAGGGCCAATGGATAGTTCTTGAAGCATAGGCCAGCCTTGTCCAGTGCATGCATTCTCCACTTGTCGGTGAGACCATCGATGAACTTTGCCTTCAGGTAGGGATGGATTACAGTGATGAACCCGGTCACTCGCTTTCAGAAGGTCGGGGACTTCTCTTTAAACACAGCGGCGACTACATCCCATGAGCGACAGTGTTTGAGAGAGGTGAGCGTCATGAATAACATGTCTCGTGGTGACACTTCTCCCTTGCGTCCACTTCCAACATTCCAGTTCGACTGGATGAAACCTTGGAGCTCGGCCCAGAGTGAGTTGAACTCTGTTGCAGAGAAGTTGGTAAGTTTGTGAACGACACCAGGTCCTTGACTGTCGACGAAGGAGTCGAGAATGGGAGAAGGAGAGTCATCAGCATCGCTCTTTGCTTACTTTGTTCGTTGATTTCTCGTTGACTACAACACATATTGAGGTGATACATTTATCAAAACTACCTCCAGATTCAGCTCATCAATTGAGGTTCAAAGGATATCAATTTAAATAGAAAACACGTGCAGTACGGATTTTCAAAAGTACTGCTCTGATCCGAAACGTTTGTCAGGTTCGACTTTACATTGGCGGAATTTTTCTAATACAAGGCCGTTTTCAACTCTGATTGGTGCATCTGAAAGCGCAGGATCTTAACTTTGATTGGACCATTTACACGTAAAGTTAACGCTTTTGCTGTTGAGATAAGCACCATCAAAGTTGGTGGGACCCTCATAAAATACTTGCGGCCATCCGCTGGGACTACACACCACAATTTGCGAGCCCAGACCCACATCCTACATACTCACCCCACCCATTCATGTCCAACCAGACCCACGGCGCTAGTCCAGCTGCCTCCGTCGATGTTGCCCAGCCCCCAAACGGTCACAAGCACTTATCCCCTACGGAGCGCCAGGCTGTCTACGAAATGCTTCTAGGCGCTGCCATAGGAGAGGTACTCCCTCGAGGAGTCATTGTCAAAGCAGCGATGCAGTTTGGCTGCCACGAACGCACCGTATCACGCCTCTGGGTTCAGGCGCAGCTCTCCCTGCGGCATGGTTGCATCTCCGCTGATGTCCACACGAAATTGTGTGGTAAACCTCCAAAAAGGTATAAATATATCAATTTTACAAATCATCCATTTATAAAGTTTAATGTCTTAAGGAAATACTGGACGACGGCAAAAGCGAACCAATGAAGAAATCGAAAGCGCAATTCGAGCAGTCCCCTTGATGTCGCGGCAGGCTCTTCGTTCGCTTTCGGCTGCGTGTAGGATCCCAATGACATCCATTATTCGCCACAAGAAGAAGACCCCAAGATTCAAGACCAAGTCGAACTACATCAAACCATACCTCACGCTAGCCAACATCGAAGCTCGTCTGAGGTACGCAATGTCCTTCGTTCGACCTTTGTCAAATGGTCGCCACTGTTTCTCCAACATGCTCGATTTCGTGCATGTTGATGAAAAGTGGTTCTATTTGACGAAGGTCAAACGTCAGTACTATGTGTACGATAACGAAGAGGTGGCTGCACGCTCCGTCAAGTCCAAGCACTAACAAGGTTATGTTTCTTGCCGTCGTGGTCCGTCCCCGCTACCACCATCACTCCAAGACGTTTTGGGACGGCAAGGTTGGTCTGTGGCCCTTCGTTCAAGTGTCCCCGGCGTTGCGTGGAAGCAAGAACCGCCCCAAGGGCACCCTTGTCACTGTTCCTCAAGCCGTAGACAGTACTGTGTATTTTGACGCCGTTCTAAACAAGGTCGTTCCTGCCACTATGGCCAAGTTTCCTCGCGGTGTGCGGCGCGGTAACGTGGTCCTCCAACAAGACAACGCCAGCCCGCACCGTTGCGTTACGACAAAGCTGCTTCATGCCAAAGGTGTGCGTGGGATTGTTGTAGCAAATCAGCCTCCCAACAGTCCAGACTTTAATGTCTTAGATTAAGTTTATTTTAATCCTATTCAAAGTCTTCAGCACCAAAAGGCAACTCGTTATTGGTGCTGTAGAAAGTGCGTTTTATGAGTTACCGGCAGATACAGTTGCAAAGACATTCATAACACTTCAAAAGGTTTGGAAATGTCCATTGAAATGCATGGAAGCAATGATTGCAAACTTCCTCATATCAGAAAGGATGCTTCAATTACTGACTTTGCATCGTACAATGTTGAGTTCGATGCATCTTGCTACGAGAGTGCGTTTACTCATTTGCATGAGCGTCTGGGCGAGGAGTCCACCGTGGAAGCGTTGGTGAATTCTCTTGATTGAGTAGTCGGCATGAACTTAAAAAAATACATTAAATTTTGTGCCTTGAATATGTTGTCTTGGAGTTGCATACAAAAATCAAGTTGTTCGAAAGCCATGGCACATACTTTAATCAAATGAAAAACTACCTGACAAATGTTTCGGATCAGAGTAGTAGCGTTTTTCGTAGGTAGTCATCGGCGCACGTTTTAGACTTGTGTAAAGTATTGATATGAATTCTCTAAACTCTCGTACAGTTCGTGCTGTCATCATATTACTGTAGCTATCAAAGAAATAAGTGTTTAGCATGGGTACTAACTGCTACAATAACACAAAATTGACTGGTCCAATTGACCAATAAGAGGTATTCGGGCATTTCTATTGGCTTGCAACAGTGTCGATGACTGGTGCCTTAGCCGATGACTGGTGTCCTACGTTACCAGCAGAAAGCGACAATGTTGTTGGGCTTGACGTTTTGGTGATTGCCAACAAGTCAATCCTTCCGAATCAGGTCCAAAGTGGTAGGACGACGACATGGAAACGGAATTGGTGAGAACTTGTCTTGTAATGACAGAATGAACTGCTGGCTTGGGTATACTGGTACCTTCAGTATACTCACGTAATCAATTCAAGTGATACTTGGGTTTGTAGTGGGCAAGACAGGAAAAACGTTAAGGAAAGCTGAATAACATGCAAATTAAGCTGAAAAACGTTAAGGATTTCTACCACTGTTAAATGGGTGAATACCACTGTTAGTACCACTATTAAACAGGCGGAATGATTACGTTACCTCGTTCACGGTGCAGGCTTTCAAACCTTTCCACATGTAATGCATTCATTACTTTGAGAAGGTTATTTGAAGACACGGCATCCTTTCGCAAGCATTATTTTATGAAGGTTATTCGAAGTCATACATTTTGTCGCATACATTACATTAAAAAGGTTATCCGAATGTAGGCATTACATAGGATTCGACAGGTAAATCCCATGGACCTCAATTGGACACATCATTTGAGCGGGGACTACGCTCTTCTAATTAGTTCTTGCTTATTCGTCTCACCCTTAGTATCCGGTGGAAAACGTGGGAAGGGGCGTTGACCAACATCCTTCCCCGGGTTGGGCGACAACCCGGTCACTAAATGAACAAAACCCCTATGTACATATGAATCTAGAATAAAATGCTTCAGTATTCCGGATATGTGATATCAAGCGGATCGTGAAGCCGAAATCGGCGGGGGGGCGGGCAAAATAGATGTCGTCAAGAGCCCCCCATAAAGGGAAAGTCTCCAAAATGTTTACATTACGTGGGACGAGGTAAATCCCAATTTTCCCAACCGTTGCATTCTCCCTTTTCATCATTTTCAACTTCCACCGATTCGGGACTGGTATGATTCTTAATCCCCATGCACACTCATCTAATGCTGCCTCCAATTTGACGCCTTTGGAGGCCCTCCAACTACCTGTTGCGCGCGCAGCGAGGTGACGTGGCAATGATGGTCGATATCGATCGCGCATGTTGAGCCGTGTCCAAGGGGGTCCTCCAAGGATGGATCCACCATGGCACGATCTCCATGAACACTGCTCTACATGCGCGATCTTTGTCGCCACTATAACCACAAGATGGTGCAAATGCACGTTGGCTGTGAATACTGTTCGAGCCCATCCAATAGATTCCGACCGGGAAGAGGTACCATTCAGAACTTTCATCTATATAATCATTAATGCCAGTCTCTGATTTTGTGTTGTAGAGGTAACTTGCGACGTTTGGTGATGACTGTGTGTAGAGATCGCGCTATTTGCGCAGCGAACGATGATGATGGAGATTGAGGCATGTCGGATCATACATGCGTCGAACTCTGTTGACATCGTTCGCTGCGCCAGGTCCTAGCCACCAGTCATCTCCAAATGTCGCGCTTCAAGTGATGCTTGACGCCGAAAGCCAATGCATAGGGACCACAGCGTAAGGTTGTATGCAGCACTGCGAGGGCCGACCTCGT